AACGATATTGAATAATTTTACACCATCGACATGGAACCAAAAAACAAATACATGAGAACAACATGATAAGTGTCGCTGTAATAAATAGATACAGTATTTCATCTGTATGAATCCATCTGTATAACCCGCTAGTCATAATTAATTACTATCCACTTAAAATGGTCTCTGAAAATTAATTATAATTATTTTTACACAACTTTTTATCATATCATACGAATAACTCATTAAGAGAAGCTGTATGTAATATCCTGTGTAACTTATAACCGAAGAGTGAATCGCACTAATTAAATATATAGCAGCAATACTTTATTGACTCATAAACTTGAATATTACTCAAGATATGACATTACATTACATAGACTCGTAGTGAGTAATTTAAAAAAATGAAGACACGGGAGACACAAATTACCTGCTATATATTCGGTTTTGTAAAGAATACCTAGGGAAGGTATTATCAGGTACAATTCATTATGTACCTAAGTTAGTGATTTTATGTACCATATTTGTTACTGCCAGATAATAAATTAGGGCGTACATAAAGCTTGCAGCTTAACAACTTATAATTGACAACCTGCCATTGACTTTTTATAGTCAAATTGAAATGACAAGTTAATCGCTCGGTTAAAGCTGAGCTGTGTAAGAGCGTAGTGATCTTTAAAGAACAAATATATCTTCTATTGCGACTGAATTACTAGAAAAGCATTGTCTTTAGAGAAAGTAACTTATAAGGAAGTTTATAAACATAAAAATCAACCGTGCATGTCGTAAAAGAGATGTTTGTCGAGAATATTCGACTGGTTGTGATTGTTGGAAATCGTCTGGTGAAAACATTTCAAGTTTGGGAAGAAATCTATATGTCATATGTTGCACGAATTCAACTCTCACTGCATTATTTGTCACTATCCCTAAAGACATTGTTAACGAGAACTCTGCGTGAGTTGTGACATTAATAAAAGTGAAAGCTTTTTTATCTTTGAATCATATAAATTTAATCATATGTCAGTAAATATTTTCCACAAATTTTTCGTATTCATTTTTTTATATATACCGTGTAGAATCTTTTTAATATAAATTTTAAAGTTAAGAATATTTTTGTATAATAAGTAAACGCAAAAAAGCGATTCCTTGACGAAATAAAAAACATAGAAAAGCATGACCAGAAAATTAAAAAACCCGCTCTGGAGGCGCCACGTTCTCTTTTAGTTGCAACACTTAGTATACTTGTGCCAAATATGTGAATAGGCTAGCCAGATTATTATTTTAAGTGACTATTTTTAATGTTATGTTGATGACATAATAATTTATTAAATACCATGCAATTTGGGTCTCAATTCTGTTATCTTTTACTTACTTTCATTGGTTTACCCTAATATGGCGAGTTTTTTTCAGGTTTTACCTTTTAAATTCGATCTTACGTAAATTAACCTATATTCTGTATTGTGATAGCACTATACTCAACGTTAAGTTCGGCGCTGATATTTTTGCTGAATAAATTATTTTACCAATTTTAAGCCATATTATCTATATTTTGGGAAACAACCACCGTGGAGTGTGGTCAAAATTAAATCTTTAAATTAATTACTTTACAAAAAAAAATAGATTCGATTTTATTTCTATACTTTAACCGACTTCAATATCGAAAAAGAGGTTCTAGGATCGGTTATGTATTTTTTGTGTATGTTTACCGATTTTTGCTCAAATTTTAGACTTATTATCAAAATTCTTTTTATTATGCTGCTGGGTCTCCTTACACAGCTTAGACTCCATAGGAAAGCAAATATTTTGCTTTCCTATGAAATAACCTTAAAAGCTGCTGAACCTATTTTAGAAATTCTTTACTACACAAAAAACTTTAGTTAATCTTTAGTTGACTCACTTACTGAATTTCTTTCAAGCACCTCTTAGTTTGTTTCGGTTTCCGCTGTAAGTTTGCATATAGGTGTTTATTTGCAAATACTTTGATTAGTAGTTTTATTTTACTGCATTTTTTCACTCAAATGTTATAGAGCTTTTCCGTGACAATAAGAAACAAAATATACACTTTCTCAGTACAAATGAATAAGATTAAAGTGCAAAAAAGAATTGTTTTATTTATCTTTGATTTAACATTGAATAATTGTGATTATAAAAACTTATTTATTTTGAGAAGAAATTAAAACTTTTGATGACTTGTGGATCCTGCACCAGGTGCCTATACAGTCTCAATGTGCACACTATAATAAATGACTAATTTATATGTTAATGAACTCGTAGAATATTAACTTGATATTATTTAAAATACACATATAGTTCCAACCTAACTGTTATTAAAGTATGTTTAATTCAATCGTCTAGTATCATCCAAATAACTATTAACTGACTTTATTTTCAGGAATACTATTCTACTTAAATATAGTGTCGGACTCAACGCCGTTATGCATAAAGGCTCAATCAAAAGCTTATTTGATTTAGCCTCTAATGCTAATGCTAAATTCAGCACTGTATTTGTACAGAATGTAAAAGTTTGTATATACAAAAAGTTTTATCTGTCGTGTAACATGTCTTAAAGTGGGTTCACAACACTTGCAGCGTAAATAGCAGTAATAGCTATTGTAATCAATTACAAAACAAAAGGTTCGATTCTCACAGAACACAATGTGCAATCTTTTATAGTAAGCTTCATTTGAACTTTATACAAAACCAATAATTTCATGGTTGAAAACTTACTTGTAAAAAATACGTATGATGAATAACTTTGTTTGTCGGTAGATCGTTGAAAGATATTAAACACCTATTTTTTTTTGTAATCATTAAATTACTAAGTTATATTGTATTAAAATTTCACATGATGTCACGCTTTTGTACATTTTCTACAAAACTATGACGTAGCGAGCCCTCACTCCTAGACTTTGATGCCTGTTATCTAAGCTACTTCTTAATAAATTGAAGTAAAAAATACGTATCTAATATTTTTCTATTTTCTGAATGACAGTATTTTCTGGGAAAACTCGTCCCATCTTAGGCCTTACGCTTAATGTCTGACGCCTGAGGTCAAGAGTAAGCCCATATCGGATAAAAAAATAGACTTTTTATATCCAGTCGTAGTCCCTATTCAAAATTTTCTATTTCTATATTAAAGTCGTGTGTTGTGTTCTAATAAAAAAAGTGTTTATGTCAACAAAATTTAAAAAATCAAATTTTTGTTTATATAGTCTTGTGAATACGAAACAGCTTCATAATACACTGCTATTTATAACGCAATATCTCTATCATTCGTGTGATAATTCCTTTCTTATGTTAAATCAGATCAACAATTGTTTCTACAGATTGTGGATTATAGGTCGTGATGTTTTGTCTAGAATCGTAATGATATGAGACATAAAAGTGAGACCAGAATTAACGTTTTAGTGAAGCGCTTATTTTAAGCAACACATGACACAGATACATAATATTCACAGTGCAGACGCAACAGGGACTTTTGTGAACGATCGTTGCTTGTCAATGATATCTTTACCATAGTTGACAATGCCGTGCGTAACTCTAGTGAGTGTCTTGATGACAGTTCATTATTTCCAAGCCATTCAAAAAATGACAATTATGTTCTGAAAAAAATAATTTTAATTTAAAAAAAGAACAGCTGTTAAAGCTGTTTACTGTTGTTATTATTATTGTGACAATGACATTATGCAAATATTTCGAACCGTAATGTTCGTATGTTGGCTAAGACTAAGAATATATTCTGACTTTGACATATGGCCTCTGAACGTCAAAGTTAAACGTCTGATACGTAGCTTGCGTAAACCTAATCATTATTAATTATAATTTAATATTTAATGAACACCGTGAGAGTTTCAGCTTGCTAGTTAGATCGAATGTTTTGTGAGTAAATAGACTTCATCGCGTCTAACTTTTACATCTCTGTATTTAATATATAAAATGATGACTAATGTTAACTATGAATACTTTAATTATACTAACATAAAAAACTTCATTACTTATTCACACCCAAATGAACTGGTAAAGTGCAATAAAATTCATAAAAACCGGTGGCACTCCAGATTTGGAATAAATATATTAAGCAAGTCGTTATTTATAAGTAATTGTATCGATCTCATAACGTTCAAGTTTAAAATTATGTAAGCAGCTTAATAAAATTGTTTTTCTCATAGCTTCTGATCTCGTTATACCAAATGATACTTGTTTATATAATTTAATTGAGATGCATTCGATCAATCACACACTTTATGTCTTTCCATTTGTATACTATTATTTAAAATTATATTGTGAAAGAAGACAACACGTTTTGAAATAAAGAATAACAAATTCATACTTTGGAATCTGTAGCTTTTAAAATATATGTCTAGATGACCTTCGATCGTTAATTGTGAAACTAAGACATTGGGCATTAGAATATCTCCAATACTGACACAACAGGTCCAAGATCTAGAGATACCGATATAAAAAATTCCATCGTCTTATTAATTTTAAGAACTTTTAATGGCACCCATGAGCCCGCGAGCTAGCTTTGTCTGTCTGTCAAGTCAGTGTTGAAACAGCCCCATAGAAAAGGGCTCTCAGTAATAATCTCTGCATCAACAGTGTCGCAATCGCTGCGTCTTGACACACATACTGTAAGACATAATCTATGTAGTACGGACACTGCACGTAAATATTGGATATACATCACGCACTTAAGCACTTACACACACACACTTAGTAATATTGTGTCAATCTAAGACAACCAGCGATTGCTCATTGAGTAGACTGTCGCAACACTGTGTCAAATTGACAATTGGCGTTTATAATTAGTTTTCTATCTTTATTATGCTACAAAGCTTTTATGGGCGCTTCACATTTAATTAATGCTACGAGGTAATCTGAGAACGATAAAAACTACTTTATTTAGTAGTTGATAATTATTTAATTCCATAATTTTAAAAGACTAAATTGGGCTATCCGTTTAATCCTTATCGCATTACCCAGATCATCCCTTAGCATCCTTTTAGTTCAAGTTCACTTACCGTATCTGTTGAAATAAATATGACGGCGGGAAAAAAACCACACGTACACTGTTGTAATAGCGCGCAGCAGGTTTCGTCCAAGTCTTTTATAGGCGCCGTAGCGGGGATGAGCGCGTGCGCACGGGGGGACGGACTCCGCGGCAGACACGCTCGTGACATTACTGACCAACTACGGTGACCTCTCTGTCCCCACTCGTATCTCTACCCTGCAACACCACCCTGATTTGTCAAGGGCCAATTAATATTAAATATGGTAATCGAAATATAATTGTCTAAAAATATAATTCATTTATTCAATGAGAAACTTCGAACAAAACCGATTGAAATATTATTTTTGTGTATATATCATCATCACCATATTAATGCCCCCATTGCAGGGGCTTAAGTTTTCCCTAAGGATAGAATTGAACCAAATCGGATAGGGAGAGTGGTCCATGACCTACCACATGCAGATAGGTCTATGTTAAAGATTACAAATGCAGTCGGGACCAATGGCTTAGAAAGCCTTTCGAAACATAGATCATCTCGAGAAATTACATTTTTGGTCACCCATCCTACGACCGGATTTTGTGAAAGTTGCTTAAGAACTGTATCGGAGACCGAACGTGCTAACCTCTGTTACTCGTTCGCTAACACCCGAACTCCTCGAAATATATGATTGTGTCGTATTCATATCGAAATAGAAAAGTAAAGTTTGATTTAATTGAGCCGAGAAAAGCTCCCTAGTTTTGGTGTACGCACCCTCTTAATTCCTCTGCTTAGCTGATTATTTCGCCATCTCTGTCTGCCCTTTTATGATTATTTATTTATTAACCAATCTCAGTTTTATATTTTTGCAATATAAGATATCATCAAAATGCCGTATAAAACTTTATTGTTGTGTATTGTTTATCGATTACAAATAATTACATTTTCGATAGACCACGCAAATCGATTGAGCCTTGTGCTTTTGTTACTTCCGATTTGATGTTCGGAAATATATTATTCAATGATTTTTTATGCGTCTTATAGGTACTAAGTAGGTACGCGGTCATCCACATCGACCATTCGTTAATTCAGTACACTACAATTTTATTATACTAACTAGATTTAATCATTGAGTGGAATGAAATATAGTAGTTAGTTAATTTTAGTAGAGTGGCGGTGGCGTAGTGGATAGTCCTCGTTCATTGTTGTTAAGCGACTTTCGAAAGAGTCGGTCTTGGGATTCGGAAGGCACATTAACCCGTTGGTCCCGGCTGCATTTGCCGTCGTTAATACCCTCCGCTTTGGACCAGTGTAGAAGGGGGAGGATCATGGCCCATCCTCCTTAATCATTCATGAGTAAGACCTGAACAAATGCAGTGGGAACGTAAAAGGGCTGATGATGGTGTTAGTTTTATTAAAGAAAATCACTAGATCAGATCCAGATAAACCACCATTAATAATAAAGGTTAAACTCTAATATATAAAAATAATTACCAAAAAGTTGTTGCATACGTATTTAAAAAGTATACTCGTAGGTAACTTATCTAATACTAGCTTTTGCCCGCGACTTCGTCGGCGTCGTAAAGTTACTTGTCTCACGAATATTTATTAATTATATCGTATAAAATACCCGAAATAAAGTTTCATCCCCTATTTTATCCCCTCTGGGATGGAATTTATGAAAATCCTTTCTTAGGGGATGCCTACGTCATAGTAGCTTAATGCATGCAAAGTCTCAGCCCGATCGGTTTAAAATTGACAAAGTTTCATACAAACTTTCATCGCCTATTTTATCCCTTTGGGAATAGAATTGATCAAAATCCTTTCTTAGCGGTTGCCTAAGACATAACATCTACCTGCATGCCAAAATTCGGCCCGATCCGTCCAGTGGTTTGGGCTGTGCGTTGATAGATCACTATGTCCGTCAGTCACCTTTGAGTTATACATACGAGGGCGGGATGATAAAGCTAGCCTAGCATAGAAAAACTTGAATTAGTGTGTTAAAAGTATATTTATTTTTCGACATAGTCTCCTTGAAGCGCTATGCACTTCATCCATCTATGCTCTAAAGCCTTGATGCCATCCCTGAAGTGGTTTTCTTCAAGCCCTTCATAATAACTGTCCACGGCAGACATCACCTAGCTATTATTTTCAAATCTTTGTCCACCTAAAAAATTTTTGAGCTTAGGGAATAGATGAAAGTTAGATAGTGCCAGATCAGGAGAATAAGCTTGGTGTGGTAGCAAATCATAACTTAATTCTTTGAATTTCGCCATCGCAGTGATGCACGTGTGAACGCGCGCATTATCCTGATAAAAGATTTATTTTTTTAGCCAGGCCGGGTCTTTTTTCACGAATACATACTTGTAATTTATCCAGTAGATCAGCATAATATTCGCCATTTATGTTTTATCCTTTAGGAAGGTAATCATTCATAAATCATTCATCAATATACCCTTCGAATCCCAAAAAACTGACGCCATGGCTTTCCCTGCTGATTTCACGGCTTTTGCTTTCTTTGGAGCCGGGGTTCCGTTTTCCGTCCATTATTTAGACTGAATTTTTGATTCAAGTATATAGTGGTGAACCCAAGTCTCGTCTGTAGTAACAAACCGTCGCAGAAAATCAGTTGTATTGCTCTTAAAGCGGTCCTTTGTGGATTTTTGTGGAACGCGTCTTTGGTCAACTGGAAGCAATCGCCGCACCCACCTTGCGGATAATTTTTGCATAGATAATTCTTGAGTCAAAATGTAATGCGCCCGTTCTTTAGAGATGCCTACAGTATCAGCTATCTCTGAAAGTTTAAATCTTCGGCCAGCTAAAACTGTACCATGAATTTTATCACAATTTCTGGAGTAGTGGCACTTTTTGGACGTCCGACGATGTTCATCTTGGGTGCTGGTACGGCCACGTTTAAATTCAGCCACCCAATTTTTTGTGGTCACATATGAAGGAGCATTTACTCCCAAAACATCCTTCATCTCCGAAAAATTCTCTCCACCTTTTAATCCTTTTAAATGCAAAAACTTAATCACAGCTCGTAGCTCAATATTATCCATTTTGCAGAAAAAACAAAAGAATACTTTTTGAAATGTCAATATTTAAAAGAAAAACTAAACGATCGATTTGAAATTTGGAACACTGGCAGCTAATGAACCAATGAGTAAAATACTAAGGAGATTTTATATCGTTATTATACAAAATATGGTTCTTACTTTGTTTGTTTGTAGAAGGAAATATTGATCCGATCATGAAAATTCTATAACCTACGGAAAACTACATCATAATTTTAGCAAGCGAAACAACGGGCAAGCAACTAGTAAAGATATAAAATATTATATTAGGCGTCACAAAAAAAGTCACTTTTTTTTAAAGAAAAATAGAATCGACTTCAAACTTAAAAATAATATTTATTTCAAAAGCGACTTTATTCAAGACACTGCTTTTGGAGTCGGGCGCCTATAAATTACTGACAGTATGATCCTACAGGAAACCTTTGCGCGACTTTAATGCATTCATTTTCTTCTGAGATAAGTATTATTTTTCACTTGTTTTAAGTTTTTAGCATTATATCTCACAGTAACTCATATACCTAAACAATGTTTTTTTTTTGTGTTTTGTCGCAAAAGGATACGATTTTAATGGTGATTACCAGTAATTTGTGATTTATATGACTCATGATTAAACGGATGCATGATTTCATTCATAATATCATAATAGGAGTTGAGACCGGATCTTAATTTAATGGACAATAAAAGTAATGAAACAAATTTATATCAAGATTTAATATAATTTAATTAAATTACACCCTGAAATAATAACTTTCATTCTTGTTTCAGAGTTTTTCAAAAAATATATAAATAAATGGTAAAGGAATCATTACTTTACCTTTTCCTGAACTGAAACAAAATATGTAGAATAATCCATTTTCTTTCAAACTCTTCAGATGTGACCATCACCTGGGTTCGATTCCCGGTTGTATCAATGCAAAATATGACGTTTTCTTTATTGACTCGTCTCTGGGTGTCGCGTTAGTGGCGTTATTTCAGATACTCATAATTAGGGATTACTGGTATCAGTAAATACAAGAACTTACTCGATACTTTCCTTTAGATACAAAGTACTTTTATAATTAGAACCAAGTAAAAAGTAATATCGTGAAGTGAATTAAATAAAAAAAAAGTGAAGTAAATATTACCCACCAAGGAGTGTCAAAAAACTCGCGTGCATAAGACTGTTTACTCTGTGTTAAGGTGTCTAAAGTTTATCTTATGAAAAATTCCCACAGGCGCGGCATCCCTTGTTTTTTGACGCTGGGATGCATTACTACATACCCCGGGTCACCAGCGCCGGGTCGATATTTTACATTTTCTTAGTAAATATCGATACATCTTGACCGATACGGTGTCGAGTATAAGTCGATAGTCGATCGATACCTAGGTGGTATCGTTTCATTCCTACTCATAACACGTAGACTTTAGCTTTATCTTTGTAATGAAACCGTGGGAGAGCCACGCTTCGGCATGAATGGGCTGGCTCGACCGGAGTGATAACACGGCCTCACAGAAAACCGACGTGAAGCAACGCTTGCGTTGTGTTTCGTCGTGTGAGTGAGGGTATCGGAGGCCCAACCCCTCCCTACTCCCTTCCCTCTATCCCTCAACCCTTCCCTGCAAGGCCGGCAGCGCGCTTGTAGCCCCTCTGGTGTTGCAGGTGTCCATGGGCGACGGTAATCACTTACCATCAGGTGATCCGTCTGCTCGTCTGCCCCCTATCCCATAAAAAAAAAATAACAAAATTCATCATCATCATCAGCTTCCGTAACAAGTTTTACTTTGCTTTACAGCGAATAATGTTTCTTTTTTTTGAATGGTTAAGAAGGATGGGTTATGACTGCGCGACAATGCGAATAGGAGGGTATTCACAACTGCAAATGCTGCTGTAAGCAATGGCTTAATGTGCCTTCTGAAGCACAGAGTAGCTTGAGACAATAATCTTTTGGTTACCCTTCCCGTGACCGACCCTTCCGAAAGTTGGTTAACAGCAACGATCATGGCCGCTACACCTCTGACCTTCACGTTTAA